ATATATTAGTACAGTACTTTGTAGTATAGTACTTTATAGTGCAATGTGCTTGTTGAGTGCAACACCAGTATATTATGTGCTCACCAAAATGAACAAAAGGTGCTTGTGAAACTTATGTAACTATTACAAAATACATTACACTTTCTGTCTAGTGAAGTCCTCCTATATCCTACACTGTACACATGTACAAACCTTCCTTCATGTAGCTCTAAAATGAAATCAACAGAACAGAATACGAGAAGAAACTTCTATACTTCTGCATGTAGCCAGTGTAACATCCATCCACTTTCTTCCACTTATCCGGGGTCGGGTCGCTGGGGTAGCAGCCTAAGTAGGGAGGCCCAGACTTCCTTCTCCCCAGCCACTTGGCCAGCTCCTCCGGGGGAATCCCGAGGCGTTCCCAGGCCAGTCGAGAAACATAGTCCCTCCAGCGTGTCCTGGGTCTTCCTCTGGGTCTCCTCCCGTTGGGACGTGTCCAGAACACCTCACCAGGGAGGCGTCCAGGAGGCATCCTAACCAGATGCCCGAGCCACCTCAACTGGCTCCTCTCGACGCTGGCTCTACTCCGAGTCCCTCCCGGATGATTGAGCTTCTCCAAACACCCTGCGGAGAAAACTCATTTCGGCTGCTTGTATCCGTGATCTAGTTCTTTCGGTCACAACCCAAAGCTCATGACCATAGATGAAGGTAGGAACGTAGATCGACCAGTAAATTGAGAGCATCGCCTTTAGACTCGGTTCTCTTTTCACCACAACGGACCGATACAGCACCCGCTTCACTGCCTATACCGCACCTATCCGCCTATCAATCTTTCACTCCATTTTTTTCCTCATTCGTGAACAAGACTTCAAGATACTTAAACTCCTCCACTTGGGGTAGGACCTCCTGTCCGACCCGGAGAGGGCACTCTACCCTTTTCCGGCTCAAGACCATGGCCTCGGATTTGGAGGAACTGATCCTCATCCCGGCCGCATCACACTCGACTGCGAACCGCTCCAGCGAAAGCTGTAGATCATGACCTGATGAAGCCAGTAAGCCCACATCATCTGCAAAAAACAGACGCAATATAAAACCACCAAAACGAATCCTCTCAACACCCTTGCTGCGCCTAGAAATTCTGTCCATAAAAGTTTTGAACAGAATCGGTGACAAAGGACAATCTTGGCAGAGTCCAACTCTCACTGAGAACGAGCCCGACTTACTGCCGGTGATGCGGACCAGGCTCTGACACCAGTCGTACAGGAACCTAACAGCCCTTATCAAAGGACTTGGTACCCCATACTCCTGGAGTACTCTACAGGGCCAAGGGACGTGGTCGAACGCCTTCTCCAAGTCCACAAACCAAACTGGTGGAGCAAACTCCCACACACCCTCCAGGACCCTGCTGAGAGTGTAGAGCTGGTCCAGTGTTCCACGACCAGGACGAAAACCACACTGCTCCTCCTGAATCCGAGGTTTATCTTTATCTTATTTCTTATATATTGTATTGTTTATTAACATTTTAGGAACTTTTGTGTGAAATCTTTCATCTGTTGCTGCTGATACACTGGAATTTCCCATCCGTGGGACAATAAAGGCTGTTTCTATTCTATTCTAACTATCCAACGGACCCTCCTCTCCAGAGCCCCTGTATAGACCTTACCCGGGAGGCTTAAGAGCGTGATCGCCCTGTAGTTGGATGACAGTCTACGGTCCACCCCAGTCTGCCAATCCTGGGGAACTACCCCCAATGTCCATGCAATATTGCAGAGTCATGTAAGCAAACACAACCCCACAACATCCAGAGCCTCGTTCTCCATGGCCTCTCTGAACTCCTCTCACACCCGAGTTTTTGCCTCAGCGACCACCCGAGCCGCATGCCGCTTGGACTGCCGGTACCCCTAAGCTGCTGTCGGGGTCCCACAGGCCAAAGAGGCCAGAAAGAACTCCTTCAGCCTGACAGCATCCCTCACCGCTGGTGTCCACCACCAGGTTTGAGGGTTGCCGCCATGACAGGCACTGACAACCTTGCGGCCACAGCTCTGATAAGCCACCTCGACAATTGAAGCGTGGAACATGGCCCACTCGGACTCGATGTCCCCCACCCCGGAACGTGTTCGAAGTTCTCCCGAAGGTGAGAGTTAAAGCTCCATCTCACGGAAGAATCTACCAGACGTTGCCAGCAGACCCTCACAATACGTTTGGGCCTGCCAGGTCTGACCGCCATCCTCCCCCACCATCGGAGCCCACTCACCACCAGGTAGTGGGCGGCTCCGCCCCTCTCTTCACCCGAGTGTCCAAGACATGCGGCCGCAGATCAGATGAGATGGCAACAAAGTCGATCATCGAAATGCGGCCTAGGGTGTCCTGGTGCCAAGAGCACATATGGACACATGCTTGAACATGGTGTTTGTTATGGACAATCCATGACGAGCACAGAAGTCCAACAACAGAACACCACCAGATGATGAACTCTCCCTCCATCATTCTCATTCAGTTCTTGCTTCATTCAGTTTCCATCACTGAGGAAAAAAGGTTTGAAAGATCAATCCTCCAGTTATATATCAACAAAAAAGGTTAAATCATGTCATCTGGACCAGTTTGTTTAAGTGACACTGTCCAGATGACACGATTTAACCTTTTTTTGTTGTCACTGAGAAACTTCATTTGTCCAAACTGAGTAAACAAACACAACTCAGCCCTATTTATTTTTATTTTTTTACTTGGGCACAGCTGACAACACTAAAGACATTTTATCTTTCCCTTACTTAAGTAAAAGAACAAATAAACAGACAAAAATGTACTCTAGTAAAAGTAGAAATGCCACATTGTTTACTTGAGTAAAAGTGAGTACTTGCTTTTAAAAATACTTAAAGTATTAAAAGTAAAAGTACTTGCTGAATGTACCATCTACTGCAGTGGTCTACAATATCATTAAGTGTACTCACCGTATGTGTATTTTCTGTAATACATTAATAGTGTCGAGTCATTTTAATGAACGATGCTGCAGATAATCCATGTTTTCATTGTTCACACTTGGACTTGTGATTCTGTGCGTCAGAATTTCAGGGATGACCTGCAGAGTTAAATGTCATTAATCAAAATAAAACGGAGGAATGATTATACCTTTGCAAGTTTTAATTCAACACAAAGCCAAACCAGTGAGTCATTTTAACGGCAGTAAACACATTTAAGTAAAAGTTGTCTGACGGAAAAAAGGAGCATTAGACCTAACAAAGGAACAGGTCTGATCATTTCAACTCCAGTTTTTCATCAACTCTAGTTAAAATATTGTCTAGTCAACATTGTAATGGGTCAGTAGTGAAAGATATAACTTCCTGACACCATTTTCAAAACTTGGACCCGAGTGTCGAACCATTCGGAGACATCTCTTGTCTCCTGTCCTAACATGCCATGAATTCAATTCAACAAAACTTTATTAATCGCAGAGGGAAATGAAATGTTGTAACTCATCATCCTGGTTTCATTAAAGAGTTGTTGTAGATGCTGATGGCTGTGGGCAGGAAGGATCTCATGTAGCGTCTGTCCTACAGCAGATCTAAAGGATCCTCTGACTGAAGATATTTGTTGTTGCATGACAGTCTGATGAGGAGGATGCTGAGGGTTGTCTATAATGTTCTTCGTTTTATGAAGAATCCTTCTTAGTACAATCGTCTCCAAAGGTTCTAGAGGAGTCCCCAGGACTGAGCCAGCCTTCTTTATGAGCTTGTTGGTGTAGTAATGGCTGTTGTTGCGTGCAACATGCTCACTCTTGTTTTCTATGGGCAGGGCAACACACCTGTCTGTTTAGCATTCACGGCGGGGCAGGGAGTCTTGTCAGACAAAATGTAAACAATCTGGGGCAACTGGTAATATACACTTTTAAACCAGAGATAAAACGTTGGGCAACACAATATACACTTTAAAAATAAAATAAAAGGATAAAAAAAGGGCAGGTGCTCAAGCACCCCCTACTGTCTCTGTGCACGTGTATGTATGTAGAAAATGAACCTTAGGTACAACCATCACTGTGATGGCCGTCTTGAATTGGGTTAACTCCAAAAGTGCTGTTTGTTTGTCGAGTGCTGTTTTAAAAACAGGTCTCATGGGATTAATTTGTGCTCAGATTACATGCTGGTGATGACTTTCAGCTACAAAACACTACATTTTATCCTCACATCTGTAAATTTGCTGTTATAGCAATTTTATGTTTGCTAATGTTGCTCAACTGTGGACGACCATTGACTGAAGTTAATTTGTTGATGTGCTTCCAATAATTTCATTTTGAAAGTTTCCTTTTGTTAAAATGTCTAATGGTTCACGAGATATTTTGCTAACGCTATAAACATCTATACACACGCATACCCAAAGATAAAGTTGATCAGAAATCCTCACCTCCAGTCCACTAATAACAAACATACAAGTTCATTCATCCCAATTAAAAAAAAAAAATCATATTTTTTAATCCTCAGTCTTACTACTGGTTTTGTCTCAGTGTTTTAGAGTGATACTCAAAGTGTGGCTGAAATATAGTTTACTTTGGATGCAGGAGGAAGTGACAAAGTCCTGTCGGGACAAGCAGGGTCACTGGACTAACCCCTGGCCAACGTGGCGGTTTCCATCCTACTCCATGATGCTCAGGTTCCTGCTGGTGGAGAAAAACCACAGCAACGTACCGACAAGTGAAGAGGTGGGAAATGGCTTCATATAAGTACTGTATTTTCCGGTGTATAAGTCTGAGGTTTTTTTTTTTTGCATAATTTACATGCCCTGCGACTTATAGGCTGAAGCGACATATTTATGGATTTTTTTTCCTCCATATTTATAAACCATTTTTTGGCTGAGATATGACCGTTTTAATTTATTCTGACTGAAAAAAAAATTGAGCAGTACCACTTTCAGCCACCTGATGGCAGCAGAGTAGTTGTTTGGCATGCCGTTGTATCATGTAATATATAAACATGACTAAAGTGACATTCAAAAAAGTTCAAGACAAAAACAACTGGACTTTATTTATTATACTTTGTACTTTATTGTTTTTGTCTTGAACTTTTTTGAATTTATCATGTCCTGGATGACTGAGAATCTTCACCAGCTATTAATGACTCAGTCGGCTTGCCATACTCTCCCCACCTTCATTCTGCTCGCTGCTTGGAACCGTCAAAACAGCTGCACCGCCCCTGCGAAATGCAGCTGATTTGACCATTAAAGTGCATTTTTTAAGCAATAGTTAAACTGAGACACACCTTTACTATAATTTCAAAAAAACAAATAATTGTTTAGGCGCTTTTCTTGTTAATTTTCAGAGAAACGAGCCGCTTTCCTCCTCCTTTTTCCTCCTTGTCTGCGCTCTCCCGGGAGCACCGAGGCAGCGAAGCTATCTTTGAAATGCAGCTGGTTTGACCATTAAAGTCCTTTTATTAAGCAAATGTTAGACTGAGACGCGCCTTTGCTATAATTTCAAACAAACAAATAATTGTTTAGGCGCTTTTCTTGTTAATTTTCAGAGAAACGAGCCGCTTTCCTCCTCCTTTTTCCTCCTTGTCTGCTCTCTCCCGGGAGCACCGAGGCAGCGAAGCTATCTTTGAAATGCAGCTGGTTTGAACATTAAAGTCCTTTTATTAAGCAAATGTTAGACTGAGACGCGCCTTTGCTATAACTTTGAGCAAACAAATATTATTTTAAGGCGGTTATCTTGTTAAATTTTACAGAAATGCAGCGGGTCGTCGATCTGCGCGTGCACACTTCGCAGCAGCAAAACTATTTTTGAAATTCAGCTGATTTGACCATTAAAGTGCATTTTTTTAAGCAATAGTTCAACTGAGATACACCTTTGCTATAATTGTGGGCAAACAAATAATTGTTTTAAAGTGTTAATCTTGTTAAATTCTTGTTAAAGTTCTTCCGTGCACACTCCCGCAGCCACCATTTGGCAGCCCAGCGGTTTTTGGCACAACACCGGTCCACATTTCCATGTTGTCAGTGGTGACGCATAATAAATGCGACATATACAGCAAAGTGACATATTTATGGATTTTTGCACTTTATTAGACAAATATGGACTGATGCCACTTACAGGGCGGAGCAACGTGTCCGGCGGAAAATACGGTGCTAGAAGACAGTAAATACTGTCATATTGGTCATTTATATAGCGCCAAATCACAACAAAGTTGTCTCAGGGCACTTTACAGGAACATTCACTTACATAAAAGCCAATTAGTAAAGTTCTCTAAGGAATTTATGTGATGGGTTCACAAACAAAACAACTGTTCTTATGTTGTGCTGACTGCCACGTTCATAATCGGGATCACTGGCTCATCTTTACAGTTTGTTTTAAAGACGCTGCTCTGTGTATTTATAGCTCCTTCTGGGAACATTTGAGTTCACATAAGAGCTCATCAGGCCCCAAAGGCTGCTTTTACACTGCAGCACAAACAAATTAACCTTTCGTTTGCACTGTTTGGATTTAACCGTACCAAAGATTAACCAAATACAGTCACAGGCAAAGTGTGTGTGTGTACTGGGCAAAAGGCTCGTGCTGGTGTATATTGATGGTTCGGAAACATTAATCAGAACGATCAGTTTCTCTGTGTCGTAGTGTTTTAATTTATTACGTGTGTCTGACAAACACAGTCTGTTTATCATTCTTACAAGCTTCAATATTTCTGTTTTTCTGTATATACATATATTGTGTTAATTTGTTCCTCTGTTCCCACAGGCCCTGGACAGCGAGCTCCCTGTGATGGAGCCATTCTTCGTTCGAAGCCCAGACCAGTCAGACTCTCATCCAGGTTTGCGAGTCACTTGGCTCGGCCACGCCTCCGTTCTGGTTGAGATGGAGGGCATGAATATTCTCACAGACCCCATTTTTAGTCAGAGAGCCAGTCCAGTTCAGTTCATGGGGCCCAAAAGGTACAGAGGACCCCCCTGCACAGTGGAACAGGTCTGTAGAGTTGATCTTTTTCTCTAAGCCAGGGGTCTGCAACCTGCGGCTCTGGAGCCACACGTGGCTCTTTGGTCCTTCTGCAGCAGATCTTTCAAGCTTTGACCAAAACTAACATAAAACTGAATTTGACTGGTTATACAAACAAGAAAAAAAGTTGATTTTTTTTTTCTGTTTTCCTGTCATTTCTTTTGCTAAAATGTGAACACTGGAGTAAAAACACTGTAACTTGATTCTTTATTTCTTTATATAAAGAACAGTCTGCATAGTTTATAGATGTTTTAATTTAAAAAAAAAAGGTAAAAACTGTTTTCCCCCTTCTTTACAAGAAGTCTTTTAATTTAATAAATGTTATAAATTATTTTTACTTTTGCTTTACACAGTGTACAAAAAGCCCTCTCCAGCAAACCTAAAGTGGCCCACGGGCCACCAGTTCATAACCACAGTTGAAGCAGGTTGTTGCGGCTCCGGACTTGTTTAAAGTAGTGAACGAAGGCGAAAAATGTCTTTTTTTTTTTTGATCGTAAAGGTTGCAGACCCCTGCTGTAAGCATTAAGGAACCTGTTCGTTTAGATGTTTGTTTCATGCCACGTTCTCCTGCCAACAGCTGCCGAGGATCGATGCCGTCCTCATCAGCCACTCTCATTACGATCATCTGGACAGTGGATCTGTTGCCAGCCTCAACGCACGCTTTGGGGGGGAGTTACGCTGGTAGGTGTGGAGGATCTTTCACCGTGTCACCCCGAGTCTTCTCTGGAGCTTTTTTAACTGGTGGTGATGGATGTTTGGCAGGTTCGTGCCCCTGGGTTTGATGGACTGGCTGGTGAAGATGGGCTGCGAGAACGTGATGGAGCTGGACTGGTGGGAGGAGAACTGTGTCCCGGGTCATGACAACGTCACATTTGTCTGCTCGCCCGCTCAGCACTGGAGCAAACGCACAGCGTGGGACGATAACAAGGTACGTCATGACGAGTTTTCACAGATTGGATATACACTAGTCCATTGCTAGTCGTTCCATCGGTTTTTCAAAATAAGATTGGACATGACACACAGTTGGCTGATTGATGGATGAGCCGCATGATTGGCATGAAATTTTTATTTAGCACCTGCTACATCTTTATGCAGCTCTTACTGCAGCTGATCAGCTGTTTCTCTGTGCAGAGATCAAATAATTCTGATTAATCTCATTAGTATGCGCAAAATTATGACTTAAAAGATGTTTAGAACATTTTTAAAGTACTGTTTTATATAAACAATGTTCATATACATTACAGAGGCACTTTTTAACAGCAGTGTTCTAACAATGAAAGTATTTCTAATAACGTAAACCTATCAAATATGAAACCAAAGCTATTGGCCAAGGTAAAATGTTTTTAGTTTATTTTAGAGAAAAAAAATGAATAATCCCTTCAAACCCAAAACCACAATCAGAACAGGTTAACACATTCAAAACATTTTTTTTTTTTCCTGAAATGTTACTAGAATTTAATTTTTAAAATCAGGAGCATCTTTAACACTCAAACTACTAACAATAACTTACTACTTGTACAACTATCTTTGTGGTTTTTCACATATCATGGTGCTTTCTCCCCATGCGTTACACGAGGGACCGCTGTATATTCTTCCTCTTAATGGTTCTGTTGGAATACAGAGTCTGCAGATGTCACTGACGTTCCAATACCAGTAAATCCCATAGTCTAGTCTCTAAAGTCATTTCAGATGTATCAACCTTGAAATTAGCAATATTTGAAAGTTTCTTTTTTTTTTTCATTTATGATCAAAACGTATTCAAAAATACAACTGGGGTGGAAGCATCTTTTATTTTAAACAGAGTTGATGAGTAAAACTCAGTAACTGCTTCATAGTGTTGGATTTGATGTTAATTCATGTTTGTCCCTTTCCAGTCTTTATGGAGCAGCTGGTCTGTTCTGGGTCCGAGCTTTAGATTCTTCTTTGCTGGTGATACTGGCTACTGCCCCTCCTTCCAGGAGATAGGACGTCGTTTTGGACCTTTTGACCTCGCAGCGATTCCAATCGGAGCGTACCATCCCAGGTAAACGGACCTACCAACAGTTCTACCATGAAGTTGTTTATGTCAACATCTAAATAGACGAGTAGATTTTATTGAAACGTTTAATTTATAACAGGCAGTAAGCCACGCTTCTGATCCTGTTGGTTTTCAGGTACATGATGAGAGGACAGCACGTGGATCCAGAGGAGGCCGTTCAGATTCATCAGGACCTTCAGGCCAAACAGTCTGTAGCCATACACTGGGGGACCTTCGCCCTCGCCTATGAGGTGGGACACACAGACATGCAAAGCTTCAACACCAATCTGTAGTTGGCAAAGTTAAAGCGACGGTTCAGATATTTTTCATGTGGAGTTTTGTTGTAGTTTTTTGAATGACCTCAGTTTGGAGAAACAGCTAGTCTGAGCAGGGCCAGCACTTCCAGCAGGAATGAACTGCTATGAAACTGGAGTTTTAAGCAATCCAGATGATCTACTCAGACTTGCTGTTAGCTCCTCGTTCAACTAAACTAGGGGTGTCCAATCTTGGTCCTTAGGGGCCACCATCCTGCATGTCTTAGGTGGTTCTCAGGTTTCTGCAAAACATGAAGTTTCTTCAACCACTGAACAAGTAAAAAAATACAGGGTAGTGGCTTTTGAGGACCAGGATTAGACACGCCTGAACCAATCATTCAAAGAGCATCTACAACAGGTAGGATATTGTTTACAACAGTCAGAGTGAATTTCTGTCGTTATAAACAAGTTGAGCTCACAGTTCTGAGCAGCACTCATCAATTCATATTATTCAGTAAAGAAAAGTTTCCAGCATAAACTATAGTTTGACAGCAGACCTTCAATTTTAAAAAGAGCCCTGCTCAGTGATGTCAAGTAGTTAATTACCATCTTATCAGCTGTGATGTTATTCATAGAAAGCAGAATGTAGAAAGAGGTAGACTATTGACTGATGTCACAACTGATAAAGTATCAACTAAAGTATTTGGCAGACCATCCTTTTAAGACCTGCTGCACACAGCACCGCTTCCTGACAAACCAAGGTTTTTGTGTTCAGGCGTTTCAAATTTTAAAGTTACCCAATGCTTTGACCCTCCTGCTGTTCTTGGGTCAAACCGATCTTTTAGTTTTGACTCAAGTGCAGCAGCACGGTTAAAACTGAGGCCTGTTGAGTCCCAGTATCATGTTGCTGGTTTACCCAGGCCTGTCACCTCGGCAACTTATTTTGAAAGGTGAGATCAAACGTAGAACTGGATGGAGTATCTCCTGTTTCAGAAGTAAACCTCAACTTTCACAGTCAAATATTTTTTATCCAATTCTACTGTAGATGAAAGGGTCTGAAACTGAATTTCAGTATGTTTTTGTTTACATGCTCACTGACTGGAAATACAGTAGTCACTCGCTATTTCACAGTTTTTCCAAAGTAAGATTGGACATGACACACTTGCACAAAAGGTGCAAGAAGAACCCCACCTGCATAGTGTCATGATCTCTGCCATGCCCACTTCTCCACTGCAGTCACTCATCTGTGTCACTCCCAACCTCCCTCCTCCTGTGTAAATTAACCATTTAAATACACAATCTGTGCTACATGAGCAGCATAGATTGTGTATTTAAAATTATCAAGTGCAACCAGAGCCGAGCCTTTAGCCTCCCTTGTAAAATGGCCAGGCCACCAGGCCCCGCTGCAGCAGGTGATAAAACATTTTAAATAATTATTAGCACCTGTGCTGTGCTTTCATTTATTTGTGTGTGTGCAGATTGTATGATGGCTTCATTCCTGAAGTAATCCAGTGTTTTTGTTCCTGCTCTGTTCCTGACCATGACGTCTGCTCTGCCTTCAGACCACTGATTCCAGCTAAAACCCTCAGATAAGTTTTGCTTTTCCTGTCTCTGTGTGATGACCCACGTTCTGAGTGTTTGTCAGACTTTCACTATCACATGATCCGTCTGTCCAGACGTCATCGCAGCTTCAGATTCTCCACCGGTGATTTTCTCCTCTAGATAAAACTTTACATAAATGTTTTTGTTCACTTTTGTTAACAAAAATATTTAAAGTTTTATCAGGAGGAGAAAATCAGCTGTCAATCAACGAGCTCCATCACCGGTGGAGAATCTGAAGCTGCGATGACGTCTGGACAGACGGATCATGTGATAGTGAAAGTCTGACAAACACTCAGAACGTGGGTCATTCACACAGAGACAGGAAAAGCAAAACTTATCTGAGGGTTTTAGCTGGAATCAGTGGTCTGAAGGCAGAGCAGACGTCATGGTCAGGAACAGAGCAGGAACAAAAACACTGGATTACTTCAGGAATGAAGCCATCATACAATCTGCACACACACAAATAAATGAAAGCACAGCACAGGTGCTAAATAGTTTAAAATTAATTATTTAAAATGATTTATCACCTGCTGCAGCGGGGCAGACTGACCATTAGAAGCATCAGGACGTTTCCCGGTGGCCTGGCCAATCACCAAGGGGGACTAAAGGCTGGGCTCCTGTTGCACTTAATTTGAAAAAACAATCCATGCTGCTTAGGAACATGACTTGTTTAAATTTGAATACTGTAATATTTAAAATAGTTTGTTTTCACAGAAAGAGAGATGGGGAGTGGCACAGGTGATGAGTGGTATTGCAGTGAAGTGGAAGAGATCATGACATGCTGTGCTCTTTGATAGCATTTAGAAACATGGTTTAGAACATTGCAAGTGTTGGAAAGGTTTTTAAAGCCTCAATAAATATACACAAGTGCTGGTCAAAATTAGAATATCATGAAAAAGTTCAGTAATTCCATTATACACACTGATATATTTCAAATGTTTAATATTGAGGGTTATAACTGACAACTAATGAAAACCTCAAATTTAGAAAATTAATACCAATTAATAAAAAGGATTTTTAGAAATGTTGGCCTACTGAAAAGTATGAGCATGTACATCACTCAGTACTTAGTCGGGGCTTTTTTTTACCTGGATTACTGCAGAGCAGTGCAGCGTTGCATGGAGTCGACCAGTCTGTGGCACTGCCCAGGTTGATCTGATAGTGGCCTTCAGCTCTTCTGAACTATTGGCTCTGGTGTATCAGATCATCCTGGGCTCTCATAACACCTGAGCAGTGCCACAGACTGATCGATGCAACGCTTCACTGCTCTGCAGTAATCCAGGTAAAAAAAAAAGCCCCGACTAAGTACTGAGTGATGTACATGCTCATACTTTTCAGTAGGCCAACATTTCTAAAAATCTTTTTTTTTAAGAACTTGTTCTTAAGTAATAATCTAATTTTTGAGATACTGAATTTGGGGTTTTCATTAGTTCATCAGTTGTAATCATCAACATTAAAATAAATAAACATTTGAAATATATCGGTCTGTATGTAATGAATGAATATAATACACAAGTTTCACTTTTTGAATGGAATTACTGAAATAAATCAACTTCTTGATATGCTAATTTTATGACCAGCACCTGTATATATATAAACTACTACGTACTACTGTATTTCATTATTATCTCAGTAAAATCCAATGGCACATTTTAAATCTGTGACTCGACTGGTCAAGGTGTTTCCAGGGTCAAACCAGCTTTGTGACACTGAAAACCCAGAGTTAACTCTGCTCTTACCTCACACTAAAAGCCTCTAATCTGCTTTACGTCCACTTTGTGTACAAATCAAAACTTTTTTCAATGCCTACAGTTCATCTCATGTTGGTTTTGTACATTTGCCCACTTTCTCATATCGTTTCAATTTAATAGAGAGAGACAAGTTGAAACTGATCTGCAAGTCATTGATGGGAATATGTTTTTAAATCTTCTGCAACTAGCCGGAACTGATCAATATCAAACACTCCTGATATCAGCTTATGTGCATTCAACTCATTTATCTAAATAAACTCAATTTTCATCCTTCTCCAGTTGTTGAGTCGTGGGTAGACCAAAGGGCTGTGAACAGAAGTGAAGATCAGCACAAGGATGGACTGGATTATTCAACTGCTGGTGGGATTCATAAACAGAAGAAATAAAATATCCATCGGTCTTGAGCTCCATGCAGGATCTTGCTTAGGATCTGGGCCAGTTAGGACCACCATCAGTGTCACACTTTGCTGTAATGGACTGAAATCCAGCAGCTCCAGAAGGATCATCTCAAGTTTTCTGGTGAACATAGGACCAGGACTTCAGTGCACTCCTCCTGTGTCATGGTGGACTTCTAGTCCTCACTACATGAACAAGATCCTGCATGGAGCTTCAGACTGATGGTTACATTTCTGTTTCTGAGTAATCACACCAACAGTTGTCTGCTTTCCTCCCAGCTTCGTACTGATGGTACAAGTTCATTTCAACCTTGAGCAGATCTGTTATCCCTCATGTCCTCTGCAGGTCTTTTCCATGATCGAGGTTAAAATGGAAGAAAATTTGATTTCAGTGGACAGATACACAGAATAAGTTGAGCTGAAGAGGGTCTGAAATCTGAGTCCGTTATTTCCTGCCACTGATTTGCAGATCAGTTTAACTTTAACGTGTGCTTTTGATATTCTAATAAAAATAAACTTCAATGTAAGTGGGCAAATTCACCAAATCAGCTAAATGTGACGTCTCATCACTTAAGAAATGTGGAGGATTTATCAAACAGACTTTTTGTTTTTACACTGGACAGAAATTAACAGATACAACTTTTTCTCCACAGAAAAAGAGCAACTGGAAGATATAGACAGCTCAGATAGTCATCAGTAATCAATATCTTACCTGCACTAGAAATCACTCGGCATGATCAGCTTGGATCATCAGACAGAAGTTCTTTCAGGAGCTGGAGCCAAAACCGAATCATCACTTTTGCATTTGCTGTTTATTATTTAAAACTTATCTTGTGCACAGTAAGGCAGAGCACTGTGGTGTAAAACCTCAAATTCAACAACATACTGCTTTGAGTTTTACAGCATCTCAATTCAGGTTTGAAACATTACTGGTAACAGACATTTAGTTGTTTAAGACAAATCTCTTTTGGCCTCGACTTATATTGGACTAACCATTAGCGTTTCTCCTTTGAGAGAACTTGCCTGACTTTCCAAGCTGATAATGCTTTGAGCAATTGGTGCAGGTAAGATATTAGTTACTGATACAGTCTCAGAATTAAACCAGTCTCATTAAAAATATTATAACACGACATTAAAAGGTGTTCATTTTTGAAAGTGTTCAAAATGTTCCTAATTAATGTACAAGTAAAAACAAGTTTGATCATTTCTCCACATTTATCACCAAGCTGAGAGCTCCTGCATGTTCTCACCTGGTTTCTTCTGTGTAGAACTACCTGGAGCCACCGGTTCGCCTCAGAGAAGCTCTGGAGCAGAAAGGACTGAAGGCAGAAAGCTTCTTCACGCTGCACCACGGGGAGTCTCGGCTCATCGCTGCACCTGAGGCAGACGTGTTTGACTGATGTCACAGTCTGAAACAAACTCACTCTGGGTTTGTCTAAAAATAAAAAGCACTCATGTAAAGATTTAAAGTTTCTAATGCATTCTGTACAGCTCCACCCAATAAAAAATGAACATGTATCATCTGTTGTTAGGATCTATACTGACGGTGAAACGTAGGCCTATTGCGATAAATGATAATATTGTTTAAAATTGGACAACAATTACTAATTATTGTCAAATTTAAGAAGAAATGTTGGTTAATTTTTGTGTGTTGTACCTTTTTTGACCACTAGATGGCAGTATAAGACTGACTGAACCGAAGGATGGATAATCTAGCAGCATGTCTCTGTAAAAATGGGAGGGAGGCCCCTTGACGTGACATGAGCTGTCTCCTTTTTCGGTTCGCAAAATGGCGGACGCTCTGTGTGATTTGAGCTCTAAGGCATAGCAATTTTCACACAAAGCTTTTAATATAAAAACATCAGTAAACAAGTTCTCAACTTCTTTTAGCAGAGAAAAACAACAGGTTTCAACTGTGAGTTTTGAAGCTTTGACAAGACGAAGGTTTTTCCCCCTGCGGTCAGCCTGTTAGCTTAGCTCGTAGCTTAGCTTATCTGCTTTTAACGATACAAAAACGCAATTTTGTATGGTTCAAACAAATTTAGTGTCTTCAGTAGAAAGCGAGAGAAACACTAAGAAACGATAAAGCCGATAAATGAAAATGAGGTCAATAATTTTCATTTATCATGCGACTAATTGATTGTTTATCGTGATAGGCCTAGTGAAACGTGCAACAAAAATACTAAAATCACATTAATGGTTGTAGCACTTTAGAAAAAAATATGTGTCAAACAAAAAAAGAACAGTCCCAAATTAGGAGTGTTGCTAATTTGATAATTTTCTGAAGATTTGTCTAAAAAAAAAAAAAAAACATTTTGATGCATTATTTTCAGCTCAAGTTCTAGTATTTTCGCAGCCGTCAGTGTCTGGGTGGTCAGTTTTACACCCACTGATAAAAAGAAAAAAAAGCAGCAAGTAAACTCTTTAATCCTAATGAGACTCAAATGTGCAGGAGTGGTGCTGCTTAGGGGTGCACCGATACATCGACTGGCCGATTTATCGGCCCAGATTTTCTTAATTTTGGGTAATCGGCCAATACTTGCAAGAAAACCGATTTTACAGAGATTTTTTTTTTAACAGCAATTGTTTGAACTTCCTTTATATTTCAGAGCACTATCTCATGGCCAGTTAAAACACGTTTGTATTGCTTCTAGGATATTGTTCTAGGGTATGTTTTTCAACAATATTGGAAAATTGAAGGTGCATTGTGACTTTATAACTCCTGACAGTGTTACTTATAAAACAAAATCGGTATCGGCAAATCAGACTTTGTAGAAATCGGTGATCGTCCAGAAAACTGTAATCGGTGCACCCCTAGTGCTGCTAATCCAAACCTAGCAGAGAAACGTCTGTTTGCTGCCTGCAGTGTTGAAAGTTGAGCTGGTTTCAACTGTGAAGTGTTTAGTTGAAGCTTTGAAATGTTTATTTTGATGCTGTGAAACCACAGCGCAGAAACGTGCCTCTGCTTAGTGCAGTCTTTGTTTTTAGAACTTTAGTTGCTTTTAGAGAGCAATGGTGTAGTTTTACTATTGTAAATCTTTTCAGTCTGAATGTACGTAGATAAACTGCACAAGACTGAGCTCATTTGTTGCAGTAATCTCTTCAAGGTTGTTTGTGCTTTGTTTTCTGAGAGCTTGTCAATAAATATACCTTGAAAAATTAAAGTGTTTTCCTTTCAGAACTGCTTTCATTCAACCTTTATTTATACAGATTAGTCTCACTGAGTCACAAGAACTCATTTTCAAGACAGACCTGTTTTAGACAGATAGCATAAAGTACAGACAACAATAACTCAACAAAAAAAAATTAAAACCAAATAAGTTATAAACTGAAATTAAGATGCCATAAAGGTAAAATACACAAGATAAAATATTAAAAATGAACATATTTGCCTTGATATTTCTATTGACATTGTTAAAATCCTTTAAAAAAAAAAATCAAACAATAGCTTCAGATCTTTTGCAAGGTGTTCCTGGTTACAGGAGCAGTAGGAAAAGGCCTTTTTGATGAGTTCAGTTTGCACCGAGGGAACACTGCAGGTAATTAGTCTCGGAGAGTGCACGTTGTAACTGCACTGACGACGTGACGTGGGAGGAGATTTATAAGACAGCAGACCAAGGAGTGATTTATAGATTAATCGATGTGAGTGCAATAATGACCAATGAGTACAGAGTGCAGTGATGGGTACGGTAGTTACAACTGGTTATGAACCTTGGTGTGCCATGGTAGACAGCAACCAACATCTGCAAGGAGCTGGCAGGAGCATTCATGTAAATACAGTATATTTTACTGTATAAGTTGCGTTTTTTTTGCATCATTTACATGCCCTGCTCCCGGGAGCACAGAGGCAGCAAATACTTTTGAAATACAGCTGATTTGACCGTTAAAGTGCATTTATTAAGCAAACGTTAAGACTGAGACACACCTTTACTATAAAGTCGAGCAAATAAATAATTGTTTTTAGGCGTTTATCTTGTTAAATTTCGAAAAAATGAACAGCGGCTCATCCCTCTCCGCGTGCCCGCTTACGCAAATCGTGTTTTGAAATACAGCTGATTTGATGTCAGTGAATTTATTAAGCAGAAGTTAGACTGAGACACATCTTTACTATAATTTCAAGCAAACAAATAATTGTTTTTAAGTGTTAATCTTGTTAAATGTGGACAGCGACTCGTCCCGTGCACACGCTTACATCCACATATTGGGTTTTGAAATGCAGCTGATTCGGCCCACATTTCTGGGTTGTCAGCAGTGACGCAAAACAAACATGATGCATCAGCGGTGACGCATAATAGAGGTGACGTATACGACGAAGCAACATATTTATGGATTTTTCCACTTTTTTACACAAATATAGACTGATGCGACTTAAGTTGATGCGGTGCGACGTGTACGGCAGAAAATACGGTGATGTCACCATAGTCAATGGCCGGTAGGAAAGTAGCGGTTACAAGGCATTTCCTAGCATTCAGAGTTAATCAAGATCCATTTTGTAAAAGAAGCCCAGTTTTAATTTTGTTTCTTTATCAAGCTTTCAACATGGGGCCGAGATGGTGTAGAGGCAGGGCAGCCGGCTTGGGACCCGAGAGTCCCAGGTTCGATCCCCAGTCACTGCACATCACGTGGCGTCTCTGGGCAGCACGTCTAATCCCCAAAATGTCCCCCGGGCGCTTTCAATAGCTGCCCACTGCACCACCTGGTGGTGGATGGGTTAAATGCAGAGACTAATTTCGCCATTGTATGGAAACATACAGTGCTGACATTGTGATGACATTATTATTATTATTATTATTAACATGTGGCTTAAAAGAGATGTGCATCAATTAAAATTCCCAAGTATTTGTAAGAATCCACAAACTCAGTAGGAACACCAAGCATGGATGAGATATGGGGGTAGAGCTGCTGGCAGCAGCTTTCTGTTTGAAAACATCCCCTTGGTTTTCTCAGCACTGAGCACCAGTTTGAGACGAAGCAAGATCAACTGAATGATGGCAACTGTGTTAGCTCGGCAATAAACAATTGTATCGTCGGCATAGAGATGCAAGGAGGCGTTAGGAATGTTTTGACCTACATTATTTATATAAATTGTAAAAATAGTGGGTCCTAAAACTGAACCCTGTGGCACACCATCAGTGACCATTAAATAGCTAGATGAAGTACCGTTGTGTCGAACACATTGCCTCCAATCTGAGACATAGAAAACCAACCAACAGTGTTGATCTGAGAAACAAACATCTGAGAGCTCATGACATAAGATGTTATGATCAGTATCTAAAGCTTAGTTGAATCATGTCAGGAGAAAAAGATATATACATAATTAATCCTTCCAACAAGTCTATTCATGAGCCAACTCATTAAGAGCTTTGTTTTATGAAACTTGAGCATTTTAAGACTACAGTAATGGTCTTTCACTAAAAGAACATATAACTTTAGTTCCCCTAGTGGCCACATCAGAACAGGAGCTCTGGAAAACCAATGCACTTTCTGTCTGCACTTCAGTGACACTGTAGAACACATTTATATTAACCTCACCAGGATGAGGCTTTCTACAAAAACTAAGAAAAGCCCTGGCTGCACCACACATTCAACTGTTTGATTATGGATCTTTTGTAACTACAAGGGGTAATATACAAGGGGTTTTCTGCTTTAATAAAACTGTTAAAAGGTCTAGATTGTAAAAAAAAATTATATATATATATATATATAAATAATTGATGT